TGTTAGCTTGGGGCAGGCTGCTCTCCTATCTTCTTCAAGACTCACTTATCTTTAAAATGAGGTTAATAACACCTACCTATTGGGGAGATGAGAGAAATAATTAGCCCTGAAATGCTTTGAAGATGAAAAGGGCCACATTACTCTTGGTGCTCCCTGTCTGACAAAAGATGCTGAATTTTCCATTTGCATTGGCATGTTCTTCAGGAAAACCAAAGATGAGACTGTCATAAAGAGTTTGTATGGGTAATTCTTGGCAAATAAGCAAACACCATCTATAGTTACATTCTTCCACTGTCTTAAAGAATACAATCTCCTAACCAATTCACTGTTTTGAGAATGGATGCAAAAGGGAAAGAACCCAACATTTATTTTGCCTTTTCTATGCAAATCTCAGATAACCAGGCAGTTGATAAAGAGTTTTTGCTTTATAGATGTATTCCAGCTAATGAATAAAGAAGTCATAGGATTAGAGCACCATTTTATAACCACAAGTGAACTAGTATATGTAGGCCATGATCATCAATGGTTGATACCATCACAAAAGAAGATACAATTGGACATTGTGTACTTCTTTCTTTTTTAAAGATTTTATTTATTCATTTGAGAGAGAGAGAACACAAGTTGGGGGAGGGAAGAGGGAGCAGGGCAAGCAGACTCCCTGCTGACATTATTGAAACATTGGGACAACTGGAAAAATTTGGATGGGATATGTGCATTATATAACAGTATTATGTGGATAAAGAAGATATACTGCGTGCGCGCACACACATACACACACACACAATGGAATATTACTCAGCCATCAAAAAGAATGAAATCTTATCATTTGCAACAACGTGGATGGAGCCAGGGTGTATTTTGATAACTGAAATAAATCAGTCAGAGAAAGACAAAAACTATATGATTTCACTCACATGTGAAATTTAAGTAAGAAAACAGAGGAACATATGGGAAGGGAACAAAAAAAAGAGACAGAGAAAGAGAGGGAAGCAAACCATAAAAGACTCTAAACAATAAAAGACTCTAAACAACTGAGGGTTGATAGAGGGAGATGAGTGGGGAATGGGCTAAACAGGTGATGGGTATTAAGGAGGGTGCCTGTTATGATAATACTGGGTGCTTTATATAAGTGATGAATCACTAAATTCTACTCCTGAAACTAGTATCATATTATATGTTAACTAACTAGAATTTAAATAAAATTGTGGGGGGGGGGAAGATAACAGTATTAAGCCAATGGTTATTCCCTAATTATGATACTTGTACTATGATATGGAAGAAAATGTCCTTATTTTGAGGAAACACACGTTGAAATACTTAGAGGTAATAGGGCTACATGTCTGCAATTATTCTCAAGTGGTAGAGGCAGAGAGGGAATAATAAAACAATCAGGTAAAATAATAATATTTGGAGAACTTAAGTGAAGAATATAAGGGAATTCCTTGTATTATTATTATAAATTTTCCATAAGTCTGAAAAGTTTAAAAAAAAACAATCTGAGCAACCTTAAAGTGGAATTTTATAACTAAAACTTTACTAGCGACTTTATTTCACTTTATACAGTAATATAAATGAATTGGGAACATCAAATCAAATGTTTTGAACCTGAGATAGAATATTCAAATAAGCAGAACCCCAGAGCAAAGAATTAGGGAGTCCCACCTAAGCGGGAAGAAACCAGGGTGGTCCACTGGTCAGGGTCTGAAGAACCAAAAAACAAGAGTAGGGTGTGGCAAACTCAAGGGGCAGTCACTTCCACCCAAAGCTCCCTTCTCCAACTTCCCATCCTCCATCCCTGTTCTACTTACCCCAAAGAAGCATCAGGACAAAGTTCTGGAACCTGGCTGGAATGGACGAGAGTAACCAAAGCAATATAATTTGGGGTAGGTCAAAAGTACCCACTCTTTATAGAATGTTTCTGTGTTTCATTTCATTTTCTTATATTTTCAAATGTATTTCAATGAACACACATAGCTTTTATAATTAAGACTCCACAGCACTACAGACAAGAACAGAAACCAATACTTTTGCTTTTCAAGAAGATATTCTAGATAAAAACTTACATATACTGGGCGCCTGCGTGGCTCAGTCGGTTGAGCGACTGCCTTCGGCTCAGGTCATGATCCTGGAGTCCCTGGATCGAGTCCCGCATCGGGCTCCCTGCTCGGCAGGGAGTCTGCTTCTCCCTCTGACCCTCCCCCCTCTCATGTGCTCTCTCTCTCTCATTCTCTCTCTCAAATAAATAAATAAAATCTTAAAAAAAAAAAAATTACATATACTAATTATGACGTTGATCAAAATAATACCTAGATGTGTTATAAAAATTTAAAAATTATGTAAAACTAGAACACAAACTTATAGGAATCCTTTATCCATATGAAAATGAGTTTTCTCAGAATTCTTTGAGAAAAATACAAATTATTATATATTGGGTCGAACACATAAGAGAAACAAAATCTAGGTCTCATCTTTTATAATGCTATAATCAGAATGTTGAACAGTTATGAAAGAGCTATGGATATCATAGATCAATGGAATTGTAAGCATTGTGTAAGGAAAGGAGTAGGGAGCCACTGTGATTACTCATGGATTCTCGGTATCTCTTTTGATCTAGAACATGTTTGTTAACACCTAAAATCCCATTTGCATAAGCTGTGGTTTTTTCACCTAAGGTGTGTGGTGCTTTTGGATAAACTTACCTATAGCCAAAATATATAGCAATTCATAGTATTAGAAAAACATTCAAGTGTGAAAGAAAATTCTAGAATGATGAAGAAAAAAAATATAAGAAATATATATATATTAGAACTTTTTGTCAAACAAAGAAGCACTTGAGTTATCGAGTTGCTATGGGCTGAATATTTTGCTCCTCCCCCCAAATTCATATGTTGAAACCTAAGGCCCAATATGATGGTATTAGGAGGTGCAGCCTTTGGGAGGTGCTTATGTTATGAGTGTGGAGATTAGTATTCTTATGAGATTAGTATTCTTATAAATGGGTTTAGTATTTATAAATGGGATTAGTGTTCTTACAAAAAAAAAAAAAAAACGCACATCGCTCCCTAGCCCCCTGACTGTGGGAGGACACAGTGAAATAACAGCTGTCTGTGAACCAGAAAGCGGGCCCTCTCATCAGACACTGAATTTGCAGGCACCTTGACCTTGGACTTCTAGCCTTTAGAACTGTGAGAAGGACGTTTCTATTGTTTATAAGCCTTAAAGTCTGATGGAATTCCCCTTGCCAGGTTTTGGACTTGCTTGAGACCCATCACCCTCTCTTGTTTCCCGTTTCTCCCTTCTGGAATGGGAGTATCTATCCTATGCCTGTCCCACCATTATATATAATTTGTCTTGTTTCACAGATACACAGCTGAGAGGAGTTTTGCCTCAGGATGAGTCATACCTCAAATCTCACCCATATCTGATTTAGATGATACTTAGATGAAACTTTGGGCATTATACTTTAGAGTTGATGCTAGAATGAGTTAAGATTCTTGGAGCTATGGATGGAATGAATGCATTTTGTACACAAAAACATGAATTTGAGGGAGCCAGGGGAATAATGTTATAGACTAAATGTCTGCGATGTCCCAAAATTCATATTTTGAAGGCCTAACCCTGATTATGATGGTATTGGGAGATGGGAGGAAATTAGGGTTAGATTGGTTCATGCGGATGGGTTCCTTACAAGGACATTAGTGGCCTTATAAGGGGAGGAAGAAACAGAGATCGATCTTTCTCTCTCTCCATCATATGAGGACACAGCAAGAAGGTGTCTGTCTGTAAGCCAGAAAGAGCACTCTCATCAGACACCGAATCAACCAGCACCTTGATCTTGGACTTCCCAGACTCTACAACTGTGAAATATACATTTCTGTTGTTTATATCACTCATTCTAGGGTATTTTGTTATGGCAGCCCAAGCTGACGAATGCAGGTGCTAAGACAATTAAATGGGGGAAAGAATAGTCCTTTCAAATAATGGTGCTGGGAGAGCTGGAAATCCACATGCAAAAGAATAAAGTTGGGCCCCTACCTCATACCATATACAAAAGTTAACTCAAGATGGCTCATTGACCTAAATACTAGGTCAAATGCTATAAAACTTTTAGAAGAAATCATAGGAGGAAATCTTTGTGAACTTGGGATTAAGCAGTGGTTTCTTAGATATAACATCAAAGGCACAAGTAACAAAAGAAAAAAATAGATAAATTGGACTTCATCACAATTAAAACTTCTATGCTGCAAAGGACACCACCAAGAAAATGAAAAGACAAAAAAAAAAAAAAATTACTCCACAGAATGGGAGTAAACATTTGCAAATCAGGTAAGGGATTTGAATCCAGAATATATAAAGAATTCCCATCTCTCAATAAAAAGGCAAACAGCCAAAATTTTTAAAAGTGGGCTAAGGATTTGAATAGATATTTCTCCAAAAAAAGTTATACTAATGGTCAATAAGTACAGGAAAAGATGTTCAATCTCATTAATGATTTGGAAAATGCAAATAAAATTCAAGAGACTACTTCACACCCACTACAATAACTATAATTAAAAAGACAGAAAATAAATATTAAAGATGTAGAGAAATTGGAACACTCAGACATTTCTGGTTAGAATGTAAATGGTATAGCTGCTTTGGAAAACAATCTGGCACATGATCCAGCAATGTCACCCTTTGGTATATACCCCCCCAAAATGAAAACATGTGCACAAAAACTTGAACATAAATGTCCACAGCAGCATTATTCATAACCAAAATAAAAACCCAAATATACACCAGCTAATGAGTGCATGAATAAAATATGGTCTAGTCATACAATGGAATATCATTCAGCCATTAAAAAGGAAGTATTGATTCATGCTACCGCATGGGCAAAGCTTGAAAACATGATGCTAAGTGAAATAAGTCAATCACAAAGGACCATATATTGTATGATTTTGTCCAGATGAAATACCTAGAATAAGCACATCTATAGAAGCAGAAAGTAGAGGGGATACCTGGGTGGCTCAGTTGGTTGAATGTCTGACTCGTGATTTCAGCTCAGGTCATGATCTCAGGGTCGTGGGATGCAGCCCCATATCAGGCTCTGCGCTGAGCAGGGAGTCTGCTTGAGATTCTCTCCCTCTGCTCCTCCCCTGCTCTCTCACTCTCTCTAAAATAAATAAATAAATCTTTAAGAAGAAGAAGCGGCAGTGGCAGCAGAAAGTAGATTAGTGGTTGGCTAGGACTAGGAGAGTGGAAGTTGGAGTGAACTGGGGAGTAACCATGAATGGGTGCCAGGTGTTTTTAGGGCTAATAAAAATGTCTAAAATCAGGTAGTGGTGATGGGTGCACAACTCTGTGAATATGCTAAAAAAAAAAAAAAAAAAAAAACATTGTACACTTTAAGAGAGTGAATTTTAATGTGAATTATATCTCAGTAAAGCAGTTATTTTAAAAAGAATTCCATAAAGTCAGAGTAACCCATAAAGGCTAGTAGCGAACCAGCTACCCCTTGAAAGAATCAGGGGCTGTTTTAGAGGCTCTGGAAAGATAAGAAACCAGGCAAGATGAACCAGAGATTGTCAGTGGAAGACAGAGTGGGCAGAGGGAGCACGTGGGGGGCAGCCCTCCAGCACTTGCTTTGAAGGTGTCCCTGAGGACCACCTAGAGGAGGAACGAGAAAGCCACACTGCTCACAGACATGCGGGTAAGTGGCTTGTTTTACATCATACAGGAGCAACACTTCTTAGTAGCATTCCAGAGCACTACTGAGCAACACTTCTAAATATCATTCCAGAGCACTACTGACAAACCTACAACCTGGAATATTAGACCCTCTTTCAAACGCAAAGACTGCCTTCAAAATCAAAGTTCTTGTGTTGCGATCCTCTCAGAAAAATGCAATCCTTATGTGAATGCCCAAAATACACAACATTCCTATATTTAATTAAAAGGAGCACTATGGAGAGAGCCCCTCTCTTAAATCAGGAGTTAATGGGGCAATGGGTGGAGCAGTTAATGGCAGTGTCCAAACAGCCCCAGGCCACTGGAAGCTCTCCGTGAGTAAGTATGAATCTGCCCAAAGTCGAGGCCAAGCCCCATTCGTCTGGCAGCCAATGATGTCACAGGCCAGGAGGAAGCCAGATGACTGCCTGGGGTCACACCTCTCCATAGAAGTTGTGCCAAGTCAGGTGTGAAACACCGCAAATGAGGACATGAGTGATTAAGTATTTTCTTTTCCTTTTTTATACATGAATTCATGTCCACTGAGACTCAAAACAATTATTAAATGGGGAGAAACAAGAGGTAATTGTTCTGGGCAGCCCTTGCTTCGTAGGAGCTGACTGACTTACCCGGAGGGGATCTCTGGCCACAGTGAGTGCAAGTCACTGGTATGTGGTGGGGGGGTGGGGAGACTAGACCTCACCCTCCTTTCCAACACTCCTGATAAATCAGCAACACTGTCTTTATCGGTTAACAAACTTGTGTCCAACTGGTTGGTTGACCGTTCATCACAGTACATGCATGAGACCTACCTAGGTTATAAAACAATGTTTAAAAATAGGTTTTAAGGGGGGCAATTTTCCATTAAAACATTTTGATCATCGGTTCATCTGAATTTCAAAACTGAATCAAATTCTTTTTCATTCTTCCATAGCATCTCTTGGTGGAAGAAGGCAGCAAAAGTTATTAGAAGAGATCTTTGGCCCCAGAATCCAATGCTGGTTTCAATACTCATAAGATACACACCTTCAGATTAATTATACAACTTTTCTGAGCCTCAGATTTTTTTAATCTATAAAATGGGGATAATTACACCAAACTCATAGAGTGTTGTGAGATTTAAATAAATGCATTAAATTGTAAGTAAGCACCATTTTTTCCACGTATGCAATGGAATGCCAACTTCACGCTAGGATTCTGTTGTCTAGCTAGAATCCTCCTTGCCCAACCTACATGTTGTAATTAACCAGAGGGCAATTAACAAAGACAGGTCTCAAGCCCCGCCCCCAGAACCCTTGTGTAATTGACCTAGGGGGAGGGAGGCGGGGCCCAGGCATCAATACCAGCAAAAAGCTCCTAAGCCATTCTAAACAGCAGCCAGGGTTGAGAATTGCTGGATAGGAAGGAAGGAGTGTTCTCAAACTGTGATCCAACAGAATCACCAGGTTTGGTTGTAAAATGAGGATTCCACCCTATTTATACTGAGTCAGAATTTCTGGGAAGAGGCCCCAAATCTCCATTTTTAACAGCTTCTCCAGCTAATTAGAATGTACTAAAATTCAAGACTAGGAAGGAGGTGTGGGGGCAGGAGGTTGGTGTGGCCAATGTTTCCTAAATCTGGTTGAAAAGACATTTCTCTGAGCCCTACCCCCAGAAAAGATTGTCTTGTTTTTATATCTCTTCATGTGTTTCTTTTTTTTTTTAAGATTTTATTTTATTTATTTGTCAGAGAGAGACAGAACTCAAGCAGGGGGAGAGGCAGGCAGAGCACCGAGCAAGGAGCCCAATGTGGGACTCGATCCCAGGACCTTGGGATCATGACCTGAGCCGAAGGCAGCGGCTTAACTGACTGAGCCACCCAGGCGTCCCTCTTCATGTGTTTTTGAGGTTTGGGAATCACTCATCTAGATTTCCACCACTTCTATCACTCAGATACAAAGGACCAACTCTATGATACATGATCCAGAATCTGTATTTAGGATGAGGATACTCTTAAACCAATTTAACTCTCAATTTTAACATGAAAGAAGATGGTGGGAGACCCAGCCGCCTACTCATTTGGGAAGGAATGTAAGTTCATCTGTTGGGATTCCCCACGTTCCCTCTCCTTTTTGAACTTCTTCCACCTCTCCAGCTTCAAGAAGAGAAAAGGCAAAACCATAATATATTTATTCAAGAAGAACAGATTCACCAATATATCCATTAGAACTAAATATTTGTGGATATATACATATATATACATATATACATACACGAATATATATGCACACACATAAAAATGCACACATATACACACACATATATTCACTGAATTTATTTGAGACTACTCCTTCAGTGAATGGATCCTTCAATGATTGAGTTGACTTGACTTTTAGCAAGTTGATCTAGAGCCCCCATTCTGGTCAAGGGGAATGCCCTGTTCCCTGAATAAACCATTTGTTTTCCTGCTTTGTGCCATTTCCATCAGTGCATCTGGAACATTCCGTTTCCCTTCCCTCCACTGGTGAGCATGTACTCACCTTTAATGTCTGGCTCAAATGAGAAGTCTTCTTCCCACAACTACTGTCCCAATGGCCTTCTTCCCTTCCGTCGCCCCGCCAGAAACAAAAGTTATTTCTCCCTCGGGGACAACCGAAGCAGGTGTTCAGCCTAGGATGACAACAATCTCTGTGTTATCTCCAGGAGATGCTGGCTCCATCCTATCAGTTACCCTCTGGGGTAAACTAGACATTTACAAGCTGTGCTTTGAGTTAACGAAATACTGTCTGCCATATCTCCCAAAATACTGAGAGTGGACCTAAGGAATTGCTAGAACCACAGAGCCAAGAGCCAGAAAGATTTCAAACCATGATCCATGGAATTCATAGATCATTAGGTAATTTTGATCACTCACATCATTATAAGAACGAAAACAGCGTGCAGATTTTAACCAGGAATTGTGATGTAACTATATTGGGAAGATGTGAGGAGGAAAAAGAGGTGAAGGTGTAAGAGATATAAAATTCTCATCCACCATCAAAGGAAGTCATTAGGTCTTGTGGGTTGAATTGTGCCCCCCAAAAGATATTCTGAAATCCTAACCCCCAATAACTAAACGTGCCCTTATTGGGAAATCGGGTCTTTGCAGATGTGATCGGGTTAAGATGGATCCTAAGCCAGTAGGACTGGTGTCCTTATAAGACAAGGGAAATTTGGACACAAAAATGCGCACGCAGGGAGGAAGACAGAAAGACCTACTTGGACAAGGGCTTTGTGATGATGGAGGCAAAGGTATTGAGCATAGTTGCTTCTGGGTAGTAAAGACTTCCTTTGGTGAGCATGCTGAAACACTGACTTTTTAAACTATGCGTACCTATGATTTCGATAAAAATGAAAATTAAAGTTCAAAAGTAAGCGATAAGATCCGCAGTGACATAGCAGAGGTCACAGCTACGATGCCTATAAAACGGATGAAAAACCCTGTGAGGCTTGGGGGCCAGCAGCAATTTCAAAGTGCAATCAGACAGAGCCGGCATTTCAGACAATCCAGATGAAAGCCGTCGTGGGCTCTAGAAAAGTCTGACTCAGGAAGTGGCTCTGGCGGTAAACAAGACATTGATGCAAAGATACACAAAAGAATTGGAATAAAATTCCTTCAGAAATGTGAACGTGAAGAAATGTGATATTTCAAAATGAATGTATTGTTTTGTATAACGTGATTTTAAGTATGTGTATCAGTAATTGAATTAACTGAATATAGATAGAAAGGAAAAAAGAAATGGACTGGACCAGTCACTGCCTTCACAAAGACAAAATCCTATTTTCTTCCTTTTACAGTTGAGGGAACTGAGAGCCAAAGAGATTAAAAACTGCCTCAATTGGCTCAGGCAGGCAGTGGGCAAGGAAGCCTAGAATCTGACCTTGCTGCTTGCTAGTATTTTCAATTTCCCATTTGCGTAGCACCTTCCAAGTGGGGACAAGAAAGCACCTATAAGCCCTATTAGGCCTCATAACTCTTTGAGGCAGGCAAGAGAGAAAAAAATTTTAGTCTGTATGTTAAGTCAATGAAAGAACAGAAAACACAATGAGATCGTTACTACTAATGAGAATGAAGCCTTTATGTATATGGTGCCTCTGTTGTCAGAAGGCCAGGCTATTAATCCACAATCCTGCTTCTTCATGAAGAAAGCAGGTAGCAAGTAGCCTCCCTGTTTTACAGATGGGTATACTGAGGCCAAGAGATGCTACCCATAAATCTGATAACCTAATGAAACAGACCCATTCCTTGAAAGACATAATCTGCCAAAACTCACACAAGAAGAAATAGACTGAGTCAGTTGATATCTAATAAAGAGATTGAATCAATAATGAATAACCTTCCAAAACAGAATGCACCAAATGGGTTCACTGATTAATTCTACCAAATATTTAAGGAAAAAATTATACCAATTTTCTTTAATCTCTTCTAGAAGATAAAAGCAGAAGGAACACTTTCTGACTAGTTCTATGAGGCCATCATTACCTTAATACCCAAATCAGACAAAGACATTACAAGAAAACTACAGAGCCTTTTCTGACAAAACTGAACATACTCTTGCTGTATAATCCAGCAATCACACTGCTTGATATTTAGCCAAAGGAGCTGAAAACGTATGTTCACACAAAAACCCGCACATGGATGTTTATAGCAGCTTTACTCATATTTGCCCAAACTTGGCAGCAACCAAGATGTCTTTGGTAGGTGAATGGATAAATTGTGATCCATCCTGGTCATGGAATACTATCCAGCACTAAAAAGAAAGCTATCAGCCATAAGAAGACATGGGAGACATGTAAGTGCAGATTACTGAGTGAAAAAAGCCAATCTGAAAAGGCCACATACCATGATTCCAACCATATGGAATTCTGGAAAAAGCAAAATTGTGGGGAGAGTAAGAAGACCAAGTTGCCAGAGGGTGGGGGAGGGGAGGGATGAAGAAGCAAAGCACAGAAGATACTTAGGTCAGTGAAAATACTCTGTATGATACCATAATGATTGATACACGTCACTGTACATTTATCCAGACCCATAGAATGGACAACCACAGACTCTGGGTGATTAGGACGTGTCCCTGTAGATTTGCCAGTCGGAACAAAGGTACCACTCCGGTGAGGGATGTTGACAACGGAGGAGGCTGAGCATGTGTGGGGACAAGGCGTATGTGGGAAATCTCTGCACCTTCCTCTCATCATTGCTATGAAACTAACACCGCTCTAAAAAAAATACCTTATTACAACAAGAGGCCTAATCAAGGGGTTAAAGTTAACGTCAGCAGGAGAGGGACAAACTGAAATCACCTGCCGCCTCTCACGTCCATCAGACCCACCCCTCTCCCCCACTGTGATCATAAACCTTCCAGGAGAACTCGCTCCTTTCCTCGTAAGACATCTGGCTCTTGGATGCAGATGTGAGTGGGCAGGTTCTCTGCCCAGGAGCTGGGCACAGCTCCCATGGGATCTGCTCGAGCAGAGGAATCGCCCAAACAGGCCCCTGCAAAAAAAAAAAAAACAAAAAAAAACCCACCAGATTGTACTCGGGGATGAATGAGTGTATCTCTGTTACGCATTTGAAAAGAACGTTCCAGGAGGGCACGGGCAAGCCCCGTTGTTCTCACCGAATCTTGGCTCAACACAGTGAACTCACACATTGAGGAAGGG